TTACAAGGAAAAAACTTGACTTGCCTGACCAGCTAAGGTGACCCAGCAGCAGCTGGTTATGTTATCTTCCACCTTTGTCAGTATGTGGGTTGGATGATAGGAGCATGGATATGGGCAAGTGTCATGGCATCTGCACTAGGTTAGTGTAGAGCTGTGATGTGCTAGCCCTGTCCTGTGACCAGTAACCCTTACTCCAGTGATCTGTGGCTGCTCTGTACTGCTTGTCTTCCAGAGCCCCAAGCAGCTGTCTCTAAAGCAACATGATCATCTGACTGTAGTTAATGTTCCCCAGTACATGACAGCATGAGGCCCTCAGCACTGTAAAAGTGAGAGAACCTTCCACTGGCCAGCAGCAGGTGAACTCACAGCCCAGATGTGTGAATTGTTACCTCTTTGGGCTGAAGTTATAGCAGTTGGAGAAATTTGCAGGAGTGATCTTGAGCTGGCATCAACAACTAACTTTGGGTCAGGGTGTGATTGATACGCTAGTCCTGACCAGACTGGAGTAAATAGCAAATTACTAGTCATGGGTAACACAGTAGCTGCAGTCAGCTGGAATTGGGACATCTTTGAATGCTGTGCGACATAAAGCTGTAAGCATTTCTAGTTCAAATCACAGCAGTTGAACAGATCTCCTCAAATGTTCCCTTTTCAGAATAAGAATTGTCCTGGCATTTCACTTTCTACAAGAGCTGACATTCTCAAAAGGAGAACAATACTTCATGCAGAAGAGATCCTTGAGAGAGCTCCTTGTGGGCCTGTGTTAGGTCTGTGTCCCTGCAGCATGTCTAAGGATGTCCTAGGGGAACAGCCTGGGTATTACATGAGCCCTCTGATTAGAGTTTTTTATTTCTTTGTCACACAGATTTGGTATATATGCGTATAAGCACATCTCAGTTGCAAAGGTGAAGACTGCATTTCTTCAGAGCTATACTGGCTCTTTCTCTTCTGTTGTTTTGACATGAGGCCTTGTCACAAATGTCTAAATCTTGTCCCAGTCAGAAGTGATGACTTGCTTTGACTCATCGTGTAGACAGCAGAATGCCTTGAAGTGTCCCAGCAATGCATTCTGTCCCCCAAAAGCATGAGGGACTCTTGCTGGTTAAGTAGCTCTTCTGGGCTCAGGGGAGTAACCTGTGAAATGGGTTCTCCTCTGTGAGAATGACCAAAACCAAGTGAATTACTCACTAGCAGGTGGCCAGACTAATCATTATTCAAAGCACTTAATGTACCATAATGTATGTGTTTCTAATCTACCTTGGTTCAGTTGTATTTTATAAAATTGATGTACTAAACTATTTGAGAATAACTGCCTTGACTACTTGGAGAATCAAAATGTAATGTATATAGATACAAATAAAGTGACTAAAATATACTTAAGTCTATTCCATGTGGTGGAGCAGTTAGGTCTCGTAGCACCCGTTTTCTTAGGAGGCTAAGCCCTCTGCTTGCTCTGCAGTAGTTGCTCTGTTGGAGGTTGCCAGCTTTGCGTGCAGTGTGGGCACACCTCTCATGTCTCTCTACCTTGCATCTCGTCTCTTCTAATGGAGCAGGACCTCCAGGTCAGTGGCAGTAGAATGTATGAGAAACCTGTCATGCACTTCTACCTTCTCCCCATCTACTTTTCAACACCCAGGGCTTTGTGAGACAGGGAGCCAGTTTTGTCCAGCAGATGGTGGTGTTGGCATGGCACAATTTTTCCAAGAGCTAGAACACATTCCCCAGGAAAAATCTCCAGGTATTTCCATAGTCTTGTCTTAAGTGGACTAGATAAAAGAAAATCCAAGGAGCTCTAAAAATAAATACATATCTTGATTGCTTCATATTAACCTGGTATATAGTAACCTCCTCTCGTAAAATGATGTGTGATTAGTTCTGGGAAGGGGACTTGTTGGTTCCTAGAATATAAAACTCAAAATCTAAAACTTAAGGATTTTACCTGTGTTATGTGCCATCACCACTTTTGCCAGATGAGTTTGAGTTCTTTTTTCTGTTGCAGTGTGAAACTGTCAGAATCTGTCCCACCACAGGGGTGTGAGCATGGCAAAAGGTGGGACACAGTTCAGGGGCAGTGCTGCCTTATGCTGATGGAAGGTTGAGTGGTGGGACTTCAGGGGCTTCTGGCACAAAGCTGAAAAGCAGAAATGCAGGGTTATAAGGATAGCATTTCTCTAATACTTACAAGTGGGACTGCCAACGCCTAGTAAAGGGCAAGAGTTTGTGCTACAAGCAAAACTTCTTTTGGTCAGTACTGAAGTCATCATTATTAGAAAATGAAATGAATTGTGTTTTAGTGTAGAGGTTTTAAGTCGGTGCAGATACAGAGTAACTGCAGAATAGTTGGGACAAACCAGGCCATCCCTCATTTCTCCCTGTTTTCAGGACACAGAACTGGAAATCTGGCACATGTAAGTTTGAGCTGTCTTATGGAAAAACAATATTCTGCTTTCTGTCACTTAAGCCTTAGAAAGCAGAGAACCTCTTTAAGGCAGTATTTTCCATTCCAGCTCAGTTGTATAGTAAGAATCCACCAGAACTAACTTGTTTGTGCTGTGTATTATATTATAAAAAATCCCCAACCCCTACTTCTTTCATCTCTTGAATCTTTTCTGAAACATTGACATTTAAATAAGGTAGATGTTTTCTTACAAGATGTGTTGGCTTTTGAAGAATTACATGCTCAATGTTAACAGACATGACTCATGTAGTCTTAGTCAAAAAATAGTCTGCAGAGTACACTGACCATATACATTCATTGAGGAAACAGTCTTCTTTATGCCCAATTAACTGTAATTTCTATTGGCAGCTAGTAACATATAGAGAAGTCTATTTGAGCTTAGAAAAGTAGCAGTATAAGCAGGAGTCTGTTTAATGTTGGGGGGGTAAGTACTTAACATCATGTTGATGATTCACCTTTAGCTGTTTATTATCCAAAGTGTGGTGACTTACTTAGATTTAGATGGAAGAAAATATTAGTAATGAATCCTAGCATTGAGAGAAGACAAAAGTTGAATTATTTGGACTTGGAACATTGCTGTTTTCAGGCGCAAGGCTTCAGTAAATGAAATAAGTTCTTTTGTGCATTCCTGTTGAAAACTTTGAAACGTTCTAAGTCTTTTATAAATTGATAAAAATATATGGAACTTCCACAACTAATTAAACCTGAAGCATACCCATGAATGGAAAAAATCAAACTTGCCAAGGTTAATCAAAACATGCTCTTCCCAGTTGCAGACCATATAAAACCAATATCTTGATTGAAACTTTTGCTATATTTTCTCTATTCTATTTTGATGCCTTTTAGCAGCAGTAGAAGCTAAAGGAGCCAAATGTGTCTGGGAACTTTGTTTTAGTGTAAGGCATGAGAGCTAGTCAGTTCAGTGACCACAACCATAGAAGTTCTTTAATTAAAGGAAAATGGGATGCCAAATACAAATTTAAAACCACTGGGCCTCTGTGTATGTACTATGCCACCTATTTACAGCATACATGTATTTTGTGTTTTATTATGTATTGCCCTTTCTTTGTGCATGTGTAGTTACAGAAGAAGGAAAAGGTACAAGGCTAGCCTCACAGGCTGCCGCTGTTTACTTAATACCCCTGCAAGTTGTAAGCAACAGAGGCCCTGGAGAGAGCTTTTGCCCTGCTTTGACTTGAGTGAGAGGCTTTGTGGCATTCAGTCAAAACCAAAAGGTCACCACACTTGTCCACCCAGTTGAACAGTCACACTAGAGAGTGGTGCTAGGAAAGCAGAGAAGAATAAGGGATAATAAACGCTAGCTGCAGGTACCTACACGGAGAAGTGGAACAATCTTGGTCAGAAAACGAGAGTAAAATTGAAATGTACTCCCAGGAGGGAAATAGAGAAACTGCACATGAACAGGAATAAAGAAGAAACTGTACAAATACATATGCTAGGTTATTTTTGATTAGATTTTTAACATTAGGATCCTGGAGTATGTAACCATGACCTCATTCTCCAGGAAAAAATATAGGAGGTGGGAACTGAAGTTACAGTTACATACATGCAAAACCTGACCAAACCAGAGTTTGTATTAAAGTCACAAAATGAAAATTTTCATTTTTGACTGTGATTGAGTTTGAAGTTTGATTTGGATAGGGGAAGTTCTATTTTAGTAAAAAAGATACAATACAGTCTCTTCTTTCTCAGATTAATACACTGCAAAACCACAAAGCTATAGAGGCAACCCTGAACATAAGGGAAGAAGCATTTTAATGTCTCAGTTACTAGAATCTCTTCCTTTTATTTCTTGCGTCCTTCTTTATGAAATAAATTACTTGTCAATAACAACATATTTACAAATTTATAATACTCACACTACAGTCACTAGTCATGCCAAATCTAAATGCAGGGAGAGCAGGGAGAAAGTTCGCAGCAGCATTTTATTGAAAACATGAAACATTTCAATGTTGAACTCCAAAATGCAGCAGACATTTTGTTGTCTTCTGTACTTTTTTTTTTTCTATTGAGAACCTATGAAAAATATTACTCTAAAGAGTGGAAATTCTGTTAAGATGGATGAGGAGACATTGCAATGTACAGTGTTCAGTATTAAATTAAGAAAGGCACTTGCTATCCTGCTTGCCTAAAGATTACAAAAACAAACAAAACCCCCAAAACACATTGCAGAGAAAGAAAAAGTGGTAATATCAAAAGAGGTTAAATAAGTCCACAAAATACATTCATATTTAAGAAGACAATAATAAAATGATGACCTAATAACTTAAGCAGATGTTTCCATGGCAGAATGTAAATTTTGAAAGTCAATGAAACACTGAGTGTGAAGTCCTTGAGGTTGTTTTTTTCTTATTAAAATAAAACACAACCCACCAAACCAAAAAAACAAAGCAGCTCCTGAAGTTCTGTTCCTCCAGGCACCACCACCAGTACCACAACATAGTAATCCACTCAAGGGCAGAAGCAATGTAATTCAATAAACCTAGCCTGCTACCAGTCCTTGATTTTATTTCTTAGCAATTGAGTAGACAATAACACAACTCCAAAGCAGAATAATCATCAGGTAAAACTGTTTGTCTTTCAAATAGACAATCTCTCATTGTGTTTCTGCATTGCAGAGTGATTTGAGTGCATATTCAGCCATAGGCTGAGTGCCACATTCAAAAAGTGTTTGAAAAGAGACAAAAATATAAGGAGCTAGTAAATGGGTAGGCAAAAGTGATACAGTCCACAGTTTGGTCAACTCCAATGTTTGATGAGGAAGAAGGTAGTGGGTATATCAGAAGAGGGACATGCAGAATTCATTTGCAGAAACAGTGAATGCCTCCACCTGAACCAAAATGAGTTCATCTGCCGACAGTTTAACAGAATTCATACAGTCACATATGCCCGTGAGCTCAAACTAGTTTTTTATCTCTTTTGTCCTGCCATGAACGTTGATCAGCCTTATATTTTCCTCATGGTGTCTTCTATAGTCACAGCTTCAGAATATTTTGAATCGTATCTACCTCCCATACCACTTAGAGTTCATCCTAGTGACAAGAAAATAAATAATTAAGTTATTCTGAAAGTACAAATAAAAATCAAGATTACTGGGGGTTTTTTTCTGTGATTTTAAATTTCTCTGTAGAACTACTTTTCCAACTGGACAAATGTTTTGTAAATAGAATTCAGGGTACTTCTCAACAGCTGTGTATTTTAATATTCTTTCTGAGTTACAATGTCAATCCCCCTCTTGCACTAATGAACCTCTATAATTAAATCTAGTCTAAGGATTACACTTAAGGATACAGTGCATCTCAAAATCTACCTTTAATGCATCTGTCCCATGAATGTGTGCATGTCCCATAGATATCTGTGAATTCTGCTAAGCTTTGCCATAAACTCATGTAGCAGCTGCAGAATTCTATGCTACATCTGTGGACATGGAGAACTGAGTTTGAATAAATAATAGTAACCAAAACAAGACTGGAAGTAAAATGTACCTGGTACTATTTGGAGATAGGGTATTTAATACTTCATGGACAAAGACCAAATACTAACATCGTTTTAAAGGGCTATTCTTTACAATAGTACAAGTCTTTTGCAAACACCCCACAATAAGTATTCTTACCTTATTTCTAGATTTTTTTCTTTTTCCTTTATTTTGAATTGCTTCTAGTTTTTCATTCAAAAGGTCAGCAATACCTTTTGCATCTGTGCTGTCTATATATTCGCCAAGAACATTTTTCTTAAAAAAAAAAAAAAAGTGTAACATGTTACCCATGCTCTACACTGAATAGAAAATCTGCTTACTTTCAGATAAAATTCAAGAGGAGTGCAGGGTAGAAGACAGTGGTACTGGCAGGTTGATGTACGTTTTGTTTCCATTTAAACAATGCTAATTATCTTTATAGCAAGAAACAGCTGCTATTTTTCAAAACTACACAAATTTTGAACTACACAAGTTTTGTCTAGACCCTTAAACCCCCAATAGTTATAATTTTCTAACATTTATTCAGCTAAGTATTTAATACAGACAGCCATTACAAAGTCTGCCACTTCATAATCTATGTTCATTAAATCTGTCAGTGTGGGTTGCTGCTTTTGAGACCTGAAAAGCCATTACTCTTTGCCACAGAAAAGTCTCATTGAATTTGATGGAATTGTGTAAGGAAGGATTATTTCTAGAACTTCCCATAAGAGATTCAGTTAAAAAAATAAAAGGAAAGTATAATTAAACAAATTGGCTTAACTATCAGGATGTATTGAATACTTTCTCTTCAGTGTGAATACATTTAAAAAGAGGACTATAATATTCTTTAAATTGAATAGTTTTACAAGAGTAAAGACATTTTCCTAGAACTATCTGAATACTTCTCACTTTTTTAGTTTATTACTTCTAAGCTGTTAGTAGGAAATGTTGATCTCAACAAAGAGTCACACTGGTAATTGAAAGGGTTTGATAAGGTTTTTGAGACAGAACACAACTCAGTATTTTTAATCAATTTTCCATCTTAAAATACATTATTTAAGTCAAACTTATAATGAAATGCTATAATTACAGTGAAAGAATATTTCTTATTAGCCAAAATCAAGTTATCCACATTTCATTTAGAGAGAGACTTTGCCTGCTTTTGGTAGCTGGTGGTGGCATTGGTAAAGGTTGAAAAACATTTTAACATGAGACCCCCTCCAAAATTAAACCCTGGTTCTGGTTAAGCCCATATTTTATTACTGATTTATTAATTTTACAATTTATTATTTTTTAATAACACATTATTACTGCATTGTCATCCTACTATTTTAAGTCTTACAAAATTGATTATTATTGTATCTCCTGAATATTTCAGTAATGTACTTTAATGTTTTACAGAAAGTTTCTTAAGTCTTAATGTGAAATGAAATACTCTGACAGTACCTGCTCACCAGTGTACACAAAGGAGACACTTTACCTTTGTTCCTTGGTAGGGGTAAAACTTAACAGTAGGGTAGGCTCTGATATCAGCAGTTTGACAGGTCTGAGCATACGCCTGACAATCTACTTTTCCAGCTTTTACTTTTCCTTTAATGGTCTGAAAAAAAATATTTATTAGAAACAAACTTCCAAGTTTCTATGGGCGACTGTAAGCAAATAACTTGAATAAGGCAGTAGTGCAGCTAAAAGTAAATGAAAAATGTTGCTCAAATCTTTTAAATATCTCAGAGTAGTTGCCTGCTTGCTTCTCAGACAGTTAACCTTGTACCAGAAGTCACTACATGTTCAGCAGAGCACTTCTACTTGAATTCAGGGCAAAGCACACCGCAGTTCCAAAGATCACCACATCCCAAGCTGAAATCTGTCTTAAAAGAGGGTCTCTGAGTGTCTGTGCAAGTGGGACCTAGAAGTGTGGACTTGCAACAAGAAGGCTCAGTGGAGCTATGCAATTTTTTGGATGATTGCTAAGAAATAAAGTACCGATGAGTTATGTTTTAACCATTACAAGTATAACAATCTGCTAATACAGTTAAAAACCTACCCTTGCAAGGATTTCAAATTCAGGAGCAAAATTTTGGCAAGGTCCACACCAAGGAGCATAAAAATCAATAACCCAGTGATCTTTTCCATTCAGAACTTTTTCTGTGAAACTTTGAGGAGTCAGGTCTATGGACACTTGTGGTAAATATCTGTGGAAAGGACAAACAAGCCATAATCCATTTAAAACTTTAAACAAATCTAAATTCCATTTTAGAACAAGAAAAATTTCTGAAATTAAGACTGTTAGCGGTCTGTAAACCCTTACTTTACACTTTGTACTATAAGAGGATCACTTTTTAAAAGCAGTAGACAAAATAATAATATGGTCTTCAGAAAACGGGTGGACAGTACAGAGTATGCTATTTCTCCACATTTTAAAAGTTTGAGTTAAAAGATGTGGAAACTTGAACATCTTAAATTAAGCAATATATATACCTGAGTGTTTCTAATTCTTGATTTACATAACATTTAAATATTAATTTCTTCTAGCAAGCAAACTATATAAGCAGCTTGTGAACAAGTTTAATGCAGTAACTTACCCCAGTGCCCAGCCTCTCAGTGAATATGAATCTCTGTGCCATCCATTGTAGCTACTATAAAAAGTTTAAAAAGAAAACAAAAATACAGTTGCACAACAGTTTGAATTATGTTTGAAAAAAACCAAACCACACTCTGTAGAGATGATGAAATAATAAACTTAAATGCATATGTTTTAGAATATATTTCTACGTTGCTTTCAAATCTTAATAAATATATCATTAATACAATTCAAAGATACAGAATTAAGGACTAGAAGATGAAGAAAGAAGAAGATTCTATGTCAAAAGAAGAAGAAACTTGGGTTGGAGCACATAAGCTAGAACTATTTTGAATGAAGGATCTTTGGTAATAACGCCACATAAAATTGCAAGCTCTGAGAAACATGAAAATTAAATTGAAATATCTTAATATATTTTCTAATTGAGGGTCATTCATTGCAATTAAAAAAATAATTATATAAATTTTCCTCAAATTGACAGTAGAAAAGCCAGGCAAACTAGTTACTTGGACAAGGATTTATTATTTGGACTTTCATGGCATTGCTTGGGTTTGAAATTCCAGTGACAGGTTAGAAAAAAGGAGTAATAGCCACTAATGTACAACTTTATAACAAAGTATTTTTCAATAGAGTTACCTGGTCAAGATCTGACTTGACAGTTTTTGGTGAACTTTATTTTAAGAGACAAATTTCCATATTTTGTCAGGAAACAGCTGACTCATGATTAGGAATTTGGCGGTTAACAGTCACATTCACCAAATTAGTTGTTTTTTTTAACAAGAAAAAAAATTCTGCTTTTAAGACTGACTTTATCTAGAAGAACTGAATAAAAACAAGCAGTCCATTGATGACAGCTACTAAAATCTGCTAGTATGCACTATGATGAAGAAGCATTACAATTATCTGCAAGCATTTAATAGAACTTTCCAATTTGTAAAATAATGAAGCAATACATCTGCTATTTCAGACAGTTATCTATCTTTAAATATACATTTGCTTCCTGAAGTCCCTGTATCTTTGAACAGTACTGTGCAATGGAGCAGACAGGCCAGGTTTAATTTCCCATAGAAATTTTTTTTTTCTTTATGATTAATGTTTCCACACTAATGATACAATGAATGGGATGACTAGATATACAATGGACAATCTTTGCAATGGTGCTAACAGACTATTGGCAGGGAGGATTATCACATGGCTACATCACTCTGTTCTCTAAAAGATAAAGCTGCAATCAATTAGGCTAGTAATATTTTTATATTATACAATTTAAATAATCTACTTTAAAAGGCAATTAAAGTTAGAAAACCTGGCAATCAATAAAGAATAAGAAATAAAAATTAAGATTCCTGAGGTAGTCTCAGTTCAAATTACTGAAATAAAATGGCAAAATAAAATGGGACTAGTTTGAAGTAGCAAAGTCAACATCTAGAAAAGCCTATTTTAAAAGCTGTGATGAACCTTTTCTACATAACAGGAGATATATATTCATCTTTTTCTACATCATCTAACATTTCCCAACCTGAAGTAAACTACTTACTAATATTGATGAGCCGTGTTCGATCTTTGAGGAAAGAGTCTTATTTCAGGATATCCCCGAACACTTTCTTGGTGACAGAAAGAATAATATTTTTGGCAATCCACACTGCCTACGCTGATTAATCCATTTAACATCTGAAAAAAGAAGAAAACCCACAATCAAATATTCTAATCAATAATACTACAAATTCTGAAGTATTACTGAAATTAAGTCTTAATCACTTAGTTGGGGGAAAAAAAAACCCAACAAAAGAAACCAAGGTTATCATAAGGCTTTCTTCTTTTCTGTAAACGGGTCACGGGTACCTAATGGAAGCCAGCCACCCAAGTGCATTCCCATCATGCACGTGGCTCATGAGGCACCTACTTTGCCTCGAAGGTACACATGAGTGTGGTTATTTAATATAAGGACTACTCTATTACCATGTTTTGGATCATAGGCTCAGTAGTTATGACAGATCCTGGTACAGTGCAGAAGTGCTATCAGTTGCACAATTGGCCTGTGTCTTGAACACCCTGGTTTTGTTGCAAAGGCCCAAATCACCTGGCATGGGCAAGTTAAACTGATGATTACTGAACATATACTATAGAGCTAATAATACTTCACAGACATTTGACCAGAATATACAATCCTGGCTAGAATTCCTAGTCTAGGTGAGTTCTAAATGTCCGAAAGTCATGGACTTGTTTCCAAAGCCCTAGTTTTTTGCCCAGCGTTTCTATCTCAAATTCATGGAAATATGTCCAGGAAAATCCAGATGGTTATCAATGATATTACCTTTGCAAATGAGAAAACACTGTAATGACCTTGCAAAACAAACCCACCCTCCCCAATCCCAACAATTCCATATTGAAGTATTTGTAATTCAGCTAACTGACAATCAACCTTAGAGTCTATGGTATTTAACATTTATTTACTTTCAGTGAAGAAAACAATATCTCAGAAATAAATCCTCCTAATGTAGGAAATGACTAAGATGGGTAAGATTGAATTTCATTTAATCTGAAATTCAAGTCATAGGTTTCACCAAGGTCTAAGTGCTATCCTAAAGATGACTGATGATTATAAAGAATACTGAGAATAAAGTGGCAAATTATTTCAACCACTTCTTACCTAATTTATGGATACTTTTTTTCCATATTTTGTTTTAAACAAATGCACAGCTGTTGTCTATGTAAAGCACTAAGCATCAAGGAATGTTAGTTACTCTGAAGTTTCTTAGGTCTTGGAAAACACACTTGTATCAACAGGAAACACTAGGCTACAGTATCAATGTACTGCACCTTTAAAAAAAAAACAGAAAAACTTTGTATTTGAAACAACAGAAGACTGTCAGGTAGGAATTCCCTGTTTTGTGTGCAATATTAATCACTAGACTTTCTCAGTTGACAAATCTCTGAGACAGCAGTTGTACCATTTCAATAATTCCACAGAACAGGACAAAACAGCAGAAAAACAGTTGAATGTCATTTACCCTGGCCATTTTTTTCCATTCCGGCATTAAAGCCTGGCAAGGTCCACACCACGGAGCATAGAAGTCAACCATCCAGATTTCCTCTCGTTTTCTTCTCTGAACTAATTCAACAAATGTCTCTGGTGTTAGGGAGACCACCGATGGATTCCTAAGATCCTAAAGTAAAGGCAGTTGATAGACATATACTTTGCAAAAAATAAGTTATCCCATCACATACAAATGGTCTGTACCAAGCTCTGGGAATGACCCTCTTCTAGTCAAATTTTCCAGCTGCTGTAGTAGGGAAGACTCCACACCACTGAGAGTCATGGAAGCATCAAAAGTCTTCCCTTCAAACAAACAATCTTATGCCTGATTTGCTGAGAAAAGCAATCAAAATACAGCCAGGTTGCAAAAGGGAGGTCTTGTACCTCTTCTCCATAAAGGGAGGCAAAAGGCAAGAAATTCAGCTTACCTGGCAAGAACAGGCATTATGAGACTCAGCTATGCTATTTAGGGTGGGATGCAGAAGAATACATATGGTGTGCTAGGTGCCTCTGAATATCAACCAAAAAAGACTGATCTCCACCTGTTCCTGCAGGTGTGCTCTTAAACCTGCTTTTTTCTGGGCTGCCTGGAGAGAATGAACACTCTCTTCCAAGAGTGGAAAATAGCCTGTGGATCTAACAGTGAGAGAACTTGAATGCGAGAGGAAAGATGGGTGCCAGAACTCTGGCAGCAACAATGCTGAGTACCAATGATATGCAGTTCTGTGAGTTAAGAGAATTCGAGAAACAGCTGAGAAGCATGGAGGGCAGCAAGCTAATTGACAAAAATGGGAATCTTCTCCTATGTCAAGGTGCGTACATGAGGCATTTTCACCTTAATATTACAGCACTTGATACTTTAAATTCCTTTGTCCTATCTGTGAGACAGAAACCATTACTATTACTTTGCAGATTAGAAGAGATCTTAAGTTATTTGCTAATGATCTCAAATAAATTACTTCACAGAGTAGGGAAAAGTCCCAGACTGAGAGTTGCTGGGTCACTTTTCTTGCCCAAGGTTTTTTCACTCTTTATCTTACTAGTCTAATTAATCTTCCAAACAAGAAAGTGTTCATGGATGAGCTGCGTACAGAGCACGACTGCAACAAGGATTATAATTTACGTACCTCTATAAACTCCAAGATCTGCTCAGCAGAGTGATGTCCTTCATATTCGTGAACATCAGACTGATTGAACACAACTGTTGTTGGATAAGCTCGAATGTTGTGCTAACAAAACAGACAATAAGGAATTGCAAGGAATTATTGTGGTTCTTGTGCTTTCCTTTGTCATCAGTATTGGTGGCTCACAGCTGCTAATCTATCCAGTTTGTACAGTACAACTGCTCAGACTTACATGCAGATGGGAGTTTGAAGCCATTACAAATCAGTACAGAAAAGATGCCAATTGTATTCAGAGATGGCATACTTTGTTTCTGAAGTTAAAAACCAGACAGTAGTTCTTTTGCTGTGCTCCAGAAATACAGGAATTAATCCACGGGCCTTCTAAGCCTTAACTTCAAAGCTATTCTCAGTCTTCAGGTGAAAACACTTGTACGGTATGACTAACTGTATTGTTTACTATTGAACACAGATACTTTCATGCTTTGAATTTTTCAGAGTATAAACATATCTAAATAAAAGTTTAAAAAGCTTTTCCTTTTTTGCTCATTTTTCATGTCGTTTAAGACATTCACATTTTAAAGATAAATACAAGCATTCTAATGTAAAAAGCTCTTATGAACAACAAAATGTGCAGTTGCAGGAAAGCTGGCAAAGTGTAGTATTTTCTGTAATTCAAGAAAAGTAATGTCAATAATTTCTACCATGACAAATTCACTGAAGCAAAAGTTAAGCAAATTTAAACGTGGAAAATTGGGCAAGATTTAAAAAAAAATTATTTTGAATTCCATTACTATATCCGTAAAAGTGTAAGCTGACAAGTAATAAACTTTCTTTTACTTCAAAATTGATCTTGCACTTAAGCCGTACAAAACAAAAAGCAGAGTTGGGGTGAACTGAATTAGAAGCGGTTTTGCAGACATCTTCAAAAACTGTTATATCGATCTTGTATTTTTAAATGTTTCACTGTTTTTTTATCCTATGTGAAGAACAAAAAGAATGCATGTATGTATTTATATACACACTAGAAAAAAAACCTGTCTGGGTCTGCTTTAGTTCTTTCTGTCTCTTAAAAAACACAGGAATTATTAAATTCTGACACTTCTGGAGGCTTACAATATCACTGTGAAATCAGAGCAAAATGTGACCTGTATTTTGCATTCATATATCTGTAATAATTACATAGTTTGTTCCTTTGAAAAAAAATTATGATACAAGTGTCCTGTTTGTTTTACTACCCTTTAAGAAAGTAATATTAAAGAACAAGCATTGTTTGCCCCTGTTCCCCTACCCCCAACTAGGAGAAAATCATATTATTTGGAAGGAATTTTTTTTTTTTTTTTTAGTTCCTGCAGCTTACCATGTTGCAAAGCCCTTCATGGATGGTACAGTCTAATGTTCCAAATTTAAGCTGACCATAAAGATGTTTTGATGCTTTTCTCAGCTCTGGTAACAAAGCTCGACAAGGAGGACACCACTAGAAAACAAAACACAAGTAAGCGCAATTGGTTTCCCTGCAGCTGGCTCTCAGGACAATGTAAGCTGTTTGAGATGAATAATATGCTGCTTTGACAACAGACTCCACTAAATACAAAACCCATGCAGTCTAGGAACTAGTGCTGCCAAGGAATGAGAAATTACAGTCCCGCCTCACAATGCTGAAGGCCACTTTCAAGATACTGCTAGTTTTTTGTTACATAGTTACATAACTGATTTTAGAAGAAGAGAAATAGAGCTATTAAATATTTACCGGTGCAAAGAAATCCACAAGCCATGGTTCCTTCTCTTTGTCAGGAAAATTCTGAGGTCCCAGTGTGGTAACATGAGAGTTGACACTTTCTTTAGCAAATGCAACAATGTCATATAAGATCTTCTTTCCTTCAAAGAACAATGTAGAAAGGAAACTTTATTTTTTGCTATGAGAGATCTTATTAAAAAAACTCAGTGATAGCAACAGTTCCCTTGACTGATCTTTAAACATGATCTGCTTAAATAAATTAAATGGGTACTGTCTTCCTTAGAAAAAGTAAGCCAATGTTAAACTGTCCAAACCTACATAGGTAAGACATACTCTAGGCGATGGTTGATATCTGGCTAAATATTAAACTGGATATTTACCCAACATTAGCCAAATAAATGTTTTATCCAAGACAAGACACCTTTTTGTCAAACAAAATGAATATTTTTTTTGTCACTGGACAAGCAGCTGTTCTACCACCTTACTAGTGTTTCTGGAATTAAGAAGTTACTATTCTAGATATGCTTGCCTTGGCAAAGGTGCTGAGACAGTAAGGACTTCAAGCAAAATAAATTGTATTGATAAATCACAACTTTTCAGGTGTAATCTGCTGACACAACTCCAGTGGGCAAAGATCAAGTCTCTTCATACTCTTCATGTACGTGTTTGTCAGCACAAGTGAGAATTTGTGTCTTGAGATGAACTGAGAAATTTAGGGTCATTAAATCTGAAGTCACTGCACAATGACTTACTAAGATTTATTACTGTTCTTAGACTTACTAAGATTTATTACTGTTCTTAGATTTTAAACTGTTGAAGCCCTTCGACATAGCATATAAAAAAGCCTGACTCTGTTGCGTATTATGTTTTTATAAATGCTGGAGGGAGACGACTACTGGCAAACATTGCAGATGCCATCTATTTTCTAAACAGTAAAACTGTTCAGACAAGAATATATGTACTGTAGTCCAGTGTATTTCTCTTACACTATTTGTAATCTATGCCATTATAAAAGGATCTAAAAAGGCTGTACGTTTATGACCCTTTCTTGGCTTCTCTGCAGGAATGGAAGTTGCAGAGAGTATATGAGGCTTTCCCAGCAGCAATCATTAGATGTAGCGGATCATCTTTCCCTCTTAGATATGACTAATCTTTTCTAAGCAGTCAAAAACTTTTCTCCTTTCTTCTTTATTACAGTACTGAGGTTCTGACTTAATTCTAACAAGCTGTTTCTAATGCTTCAGAGGCTGAAAAATAGGAACCTCATCTTGCGTAATTGCCTTGTGCTGCATTCTGGATGAAGCTACACCGATTGTTGCAAGCTACAGTTTTGCTTCAGGCTCCTTTCTTCAACCAGCATTTTTGAATCCTTTCAGCAGTACACAGTAATAGTTTCAGCCTCTCATGGAAGGAGACTGCTACTTTGGAAATGAAAGTCCATTATAAAAGTCTCAATATAGATTTTCTTGGGTGGAAGTCAACAAAACGTGGAATTAGTTTTAGTGCAGTGACCATGAAATCAAATCCAAGTTTCTCAAGTCAGCAGCACTGTGTAACTAGCATGTTAGGCCTCTGCATAGAGTATGCTCTACAGCATTTCTTAGTTAGCCTACCCAAAGCAGAAACTGTCCTGATCAGCTTCAGAGATTTAACATGTATGTAATTATGTAAAAGATGTTGAAATAGACAGGATAGTAAAGACAGAATACATCTCTCAGCATCTAATGACTGCTTACCTGGGGAAAAAAAAGAAAAAAACCCAAAGGAAATGATAAGTTTGTGCAAGACTACAGTAAGGTTAGAGGAAAACCAGCAAATATTAAAGCTACAAAAGTATTCTTTGGAAAAACAAATGCAGTTTGCCAAAGATAGTGTCATCTCATAAGTGATTATGTAATGATTTAAACTTGACAAAGTTTCCCTTACCATGATGAATTTCATAATCTCCAGTTCCTTTTCCTTTGAAGACTGCTAAACAAGGCTGATAGACATATAGTTTGTTGCAGATGGTCGGTGAGGAAAGACAGTCAAACTTGCCAACCTATTTAACAGACAATGCCATTTTAATTAAGGCATCCTGATTTATATAGATTAATATATTTTGAAAGGCAGTAAGAGTCAGGGTAGATTCATCATGAAAAGGTAAAAATATGGAAAAGTAGTAGCCTTCAACAACAGAGGTCTTAAGACAATCTTGTAACTGTGATGATGTTCGAGGAAAACTACTAGCACAGCTATATTAGCTTGTTTGCTAATTTGCAATTTAAAGGCCAAAACAGGGAATAAAACCTTAAAGAATCATTTTTTCGCCCTCCAAATAAAATAGCAAGGAAGCAAAAAGACACCTAAAATAAATGTGACATTAAAATTCTTCTCATCAATGCAACGATTTTTTTTCAAACTAAATAACACAATCCAAATGTCTTTAGTATAAAGTTTGAATTTGGTTTCTTTTTATTAAATACAGTCTCACATACATCAATTTGATGTTGAAGTATTAACTTTTAATTGCGAACTGAATGGGATCTGCAGCAACATTGCCCATGAGAAAGCAGATTTAAAAGGTAATCTTTCCTAACTACTTTTACATTATTCAAACTGTATAGAAAACTTCAATGCTTGCTTTAAATTAAAAACTTTCCTACAGACCCACCATATGATAGTGTATCTTTTTCAGTACCAGAGGTGGCAGGTGGCAGTAACAGCTAATAATAATGAAAAACATACTTACTTGTTCTCTGAATGTAAATTGTATTTGACATTAGATGAGTGTGCAGTCTTACCTGAATATGTTCATCTTTAAGCAAAAATTTAAGTTTCTTAAATTCCTGTACATTTGATTTATCACTCTCCCCAAACTGGAAGAAAAGCAGCCATCGGTGATGAGCCAGACGGTCCTTTAAAAAGCCAAACACAACAGAAACATAGAGAAAATAATATTATTCCCAGCTCATACCAACTTGTAAACTTATATTACTGACAAAATACATTTAAAATACAATTTTCTACAATGTAGTTGATTTTAAAACTAAGTAGAAAGTTACAGTTGCAGAGAGAGTTGCAATGGCAGTTTCTGTGTTTTTCTATTTTCCTATTAAATACCTGCTCCCTCACCCACTTCTGTTGTTTTGCTAAACAACAAAAGTAAATGTAGACAAACAATGTTAAATAATTTTGGCTACAGAGGAAAAAAACCACATCATTTTCAGTTAAATAAGTACTAGATTACTTTTTACATTTTTCAAATTATGTTGATAAAACAATTATAAAAAATAAAAAAATATATTATTTAAAAAATCTACGTATTTTTAAAAATTTACCTCTAATGATGCTGCAGAGATAATTTCATAGTCTGGCAGATGCTGCATTACTTCCTGATATATTTCTCTGGCATCCAAGGAGTTAAGAAACTAGGAAGGAAAGTTAACTGTGTTTGTTATAAGGAATTACAAACATCAGCCTGATTGTTGATGATTAGTACTCAGTGTCAGAGAAATTATTCTGATTTGTTCCTTTCCATCAACTGATGAGTACAGTTAATAATATGTTATTTGATCAACTTCTTTTTCAAATATATAGTTTCACAAATATCACTGCTTTTTAGCTTCTTTTTTTCCACAATATTAAACTCAAGTTATTGCATTTTCTCAAAACAGGTGCTAAAAGTCTCAAATTCAAATTTCAGACCAAATTTTCCTGTCAAGTTTACAAGATTTCCAATCTAGTTTTACAGCCTTCCTTAACTGCACTGTACAGATATTTAAGTTTCAGTAATTCTTAAACTTAGGAAGTAATATGACTCAATAACTCAGAGTCTGTAAGTTACAAGATTGAAATTAGGTAGTTGCAAATTTAATTTCCTCCTTTTAAAGATATAGATAACAGTAGTGACAATAAAGGAACAAGCCATGCCTCAAACTGAGAAATGCCTCCCATCAATTAACAAGTTAAAACTACCGTACAAACGTAGGAGGAGGTTGCAATGTTAGAATAGAGCCGAACAGCATCATCCGTACTGACAGACAATGTAGGAGTAGTTTTATCACACATGTCAGTACTCTGTTCAGAGTAGCATTTCTCATACTTGTGATACCTGGAGCATATGCCTTCTGAAATAAAAACTGGAGGCACATGGCAGATCTCCCAAGCATCCCCAGGATAGCTGGGTAGCAGCTTCAAAACTAGGTGTTGGGTCTGTCACAGAGCACATCCCACCCCTGGATTCTCACAGCTGCACGGGGAGGCTCCTGAGGAGGCAGCTGGGCAGAGCTACAGACTGCTGCTACTGCAGCGTGCGCCTGTTCGCTCTCCCAGCATACCAGCAAAGTGGGCACCCCCTCCAGGGATCGGGGCCTTAGAAGCCAGGAAGGATATAAATTCATACCAGGGCATACAAGCTTAGAAGAAGAAAGAAAAAAAAAGCATCTTCAGTTGTATATCATCAGTCTGGAAATTATTTATACATTCCTTTGTCATGGTCATCACCTTATTTTATCGAAATACAGAACAGTTGAGAAACAACTCATACCAAAACACCTCCTTTCTCTTTGTTATTTATGGTGGCTCCAGGTGGAAAGTATGCTGTAGTACTAGATGAGATATCTAAATTATCACAAAGCTCACCCTGGGTGCCACAGTCCATCCAGCCTACTTTTTTTTAAAACCCTTCCTGTAATTAAAAAAAAAAAAAACAACAAACAAAAAACCCACTGAATAAACACAAAACCAAAGAGTATTTTTTAAGGCAGGTTCAGAAATGCTTTTGAAAATCCCAACACAAGCAATTATATACAACATTTAGAAAATGGAAGGAGATCACACTGTAATTCATTAGTTAATATTAATTCATATTTTATAAAATTCTTTAAAAATTTAATGCTATTCCAACAGCTAGGAAGTAAAAATATTTCACTCTTCTGAAAGTTACTGGGGGAAATCTTGGTTCCACTAAACTCAGCAAGAGTTTTGGCTACAACTTGATCCTTTCACTTCTGTTATTTTGTTTCAAATATAACATGCAATGCTTTCAAAGTGAAACACTGCTTACCAACATGCCAGCTAGCTTAAGGCGTGTTTGGTAACTCAAGCAATCTGCAAAACAAAAATGATTTATTTACAAACATAAAACTTCAAAGTATTAACGCACTCCTTACAAAGGTAACCATTTCAAAAAGCATGCTTCCTGGCTACTCATCCGGTATTTCAGTGACTTGAAATTGCAGCATTTAGTAATCGGTACTTGATGGCTGTCAAATCTTAAGTTAAAAATAACATGAATAACATTATCTTGCTTCATCAACACAGAATTCTCATTTAAAAAATTTTATTTTCTATACTAAGACTGACCTTTATAATTTCTTAATCAATTTTTACAAAAAACCCCAAAAGGTATTTACATAGTGTCTTGGAATGAGATTTCAGTGGAAATATCAATATTCTGTGATTCAGATAATAACTCACTATAATAAATACATAATTTACTCTAACTACCCATCCAGACTTTGAATAGTTACCTTCTGATGCAGATTTTTTTTTTTTTTTTACAAAGAAGATGCATCAACCTCACTTTAATTGGACCAAAGTTGAAAACTTAGTAGCAAATAGCTTGATTTCAAGTTGCAGTCCTTTTACAAATGTAAACCCAAGACTGCAGCTCTGGTTATTCAGTTCACAGAGCAAAGGTCTCTTCGTACGACCAAGAAATCTTTATTTGTCAAAGGTGTAACGCATTTACTTAGCTCTACCAGCTAATCAAAGCAACTTTCTCATATCCCATATCCAGTACTGATCCCAAGAAAGTCAGTGACAAAGAGCTACAAAAAAATAATGCAGATCTAAACTCTGTCATAACATCAGTGTCAAGAACCAACTGCTATGTTCAAACACAACTTAAGAGAAAATATTCAGCTAATTTTTGAGTATTGGCGGTTTAAAGGGGAGATACATCCTTTCTTCTGCTCGGCTATCATGACAAGCTGGCGTGCACCTATGCAATATCTGTCGCTTGAGCTGGAAACTGAAGTCAGAGGCCTTTTCTGCCAGTTCCTTTCCTGGGGGGTTACGCTTGAGTGCTACTTTAATGACTGATGTGACATCACTGAAGTACAATGTTTCTATTAATGTCCCTTTTGTCAAACTGCCTGTAAAACAGAGCTTAAATAACCCACAGTCCAAATACTGTAATCATCTAAGATGTTTTACAACTTTTTATTAGAAGCAAAAGGGATTAACCCACTATCAGCAAAAGTACTTTTTTTTTCTGTTTGCTTTATTGGAAAAGTATTTAATACACCTACCGCCACGTTCAGCACAGAAGGTGATCAGCCAACCAACACCATAAGCAAATGAAGTTTCAATGGCATTAACAAAGTTTCCTAAGAGAGAAACAATTTGCATCAGTTTGTGACTAGTTAAACCTATGAAACAAGGTTTTATATTTGTATTAGCAAATTACAATAAACTATTTTTGATCTAAAAAAGAACACTTAGCAACAGTTGACAGATTCACTTGTATACATAGTGTCTGCCATATTTTATACTGTAAAAGCAATTTCAAGAACAATACCCCAAGCAAAATATGTGAACATTACCTGCCCATAACTCAGTGACTGTGCTTGTAACATACTGCATGGCAAAGTTCTTTAAGCTCTCTTTTGACCTATCTCCATAATATTTCACTGGTTGCTATAGAAGACAAAGAATAAAGTTTATAAAATTTTAAAAAAATTGAAAAAACACCCCAAAAGCTACTGTTTTTTAATAACACTACTTATGCAACTGTGTGTCCCATCCCCCGTCCCCAAACCTTAGCTCTAAATGTTCTCTCCCTCCTATATTGGAATGTTTGGAATTTAACTTTTATTTAAAATTTGTAATGTGATTTCTTCCAAGTCCAGCAACACAATGATAGTTTAGTCTTAGAAACACCAACTCACAATTATATTTCTATTTAAATAAAAATTGCTTGCATCAGTCCATTTAGTGTATGCGCAATCTCTTCATTCAACCTCTCAAATCTTATCGTTGTCAAGGCGTACCCAACCATTCAAGTGCAATTTGTACACTACCACTGGCGCCACTACCTAACAAGCAGCTATAAAGTATGATGCAGCTGGCATGGAGGAAATCTTGTGGAAGGAATTTCCAAGTTTCTTTAGGTATGTAGTCATAGTCTTGAGACTCAAAAACCACAAACTATTCTTTGTATTTGGAAATTCTATTACAATACTATAAGAGAAACTTGTTGCTTTGCTGCAGTACCACTGCCAACAGGATCTTCCTAAATCAAAAGTGATAGGTTGCATGGTAAAATGATTCAAAAAAAGCACTGTATAAACTAGATAGTTTACACTAGATATAAACTAGTTTTTGAAGTTAACTTTCTAAATGAATTTAACCAAGGTGAAGGAAGAGAAAAAGTAATTTATTAAAAGGAAGTAGTATATTAAAAGGAAGACTTCATATAAACATCTATAATTGAACAAGTATTACAGAAATACTCTTCCATGTTTCAATCCTTCTAAAAATGCTTGAAGTTTTATCACTCACCATTCCAGTTTTGAAAACATACAGACTGGGATAGCTGTTAATCCCTTTAATTCGACAAAGCATTCTATTATCTCCACAGTTGACAGCTCCAATGCGTATTATTCCATCCATCTCCTTAGCAAACTCCCTCCACTAGAAAAAACGGGGAGAAAAAAAAAAAGATATTGTCCTATAAATATATAATGAAAAAATCAGCACATATTTTATTCCTGGCATCTTGAATTGCTGTCTTCGGTTTCAGCTTCAGTGTAAAATCCACTTCACTATGTTTTATGCTGCTAAAACCAATGAATTTTCAGTTACTTTGCTTGTTATACGTACCGTAGGTGCTAACTCATGGCAGTGGGAGCATCGAGGAGAATAAAAATTCACAAACCACAGCTCTCCTGAGTTAACAGCAGCATCTAGATGGAGAAGAAAATTGTAAGCAAGTAATGCACACCTACAATGTAGTTATATCTAGAATGTACACTTCTACTACATTGTTTTCCCCAAAAGCTGTATTAAGTATTTATATGTCAGACACAGTTAGTAAATGTAACTGACATGGGATAAAGATTACACCTTACTTGCACATACTGGCTGTTGTGGGCAAGTACACAAAAATTGTATTTCAGAGGATATCGCCACCCTGACTTTCAACATCTGTTCTATTAATTAAGAACAAATATAGTCTCTACAGATTAACCCAGCTGAAATGTGCGACAGCATAAGTCTGGTTACCTTAAAGACAAAATACAAGTTCTAAAAGATTTTTACCCACTAGAACTTTCCTTTTCCTTGTATCACTTTATGTACTTTCTGGGTTCCACCAGGCAAACTTATGTAGAATCCCTGTCTAATAGGTGAAAATGCAATTTAAAAATCCAAGTTAATATAATTACTAGAAAAGTCAAGGCAAACATAATTACTCTTGCTTATAAAAGAAAACAACAGCAACAAAATATACACACACAGAGGTTATCAGCTTGAATTACATGGCTTTCTTTCTCTCCATTTTTACTGTGAATTTTTGACATTATATTTGCCTATATTAAAATATCCTCACAGAAAAAACAATCAAGAAATGTGTAGATTCTGAAAATCAATTAGCCAAAGCAAGACCAGATTCTCATGGAGAGCATCATGAGGTTCTGCTGTTCAGTTTACAAAAGTGGTTCAGCATGTAGATCCAGTCCATACAATACTCAAAATGCAGATGCAAAATCATACAAAATCCCGTATTTTTCTCACTAGATCCTTTTAGCTATAAACATCTTAGCTATAATTTTAAAAGAAAAAAACTGGATGATATCCTCACTGAAAGTGTTGTCTTTCCAGACCTTGTTTTACTTAGCTGTGTTTTCAGTATCTGGTATCACTTTCTGGTCTTAAACCTCTTGTGCAAGGCACAATTGACTGGATTTCACTGAAAAAAAGTTAAAAGTTCTAGCAATGCACTTTTAGACAAGAGACCAAAAAATAATAATGATAAATTAGAAGAAAAAAAATTTAATTCAAATAATTTCCTCTTATAGATCTCACAAAATATCTTTCAAACTTAATCTAAACTGTTCATTGATCTTGATCTATTTGCTAACTAGCATTTACCAGGAAGCGCTAAGGTTTTTTTTTTCATTTTCTCATCGAAAGATGATTTTCGTATAGGTTTTATTGATGTGTAAATGAAGTCTATAGATATACAGCTTATAATGTAAAAATCATTACTTTGGGCTGCCGTGTTGTCAAACAGATAGCTATTTATTTAAAACTTACCAAATTCTCCTCTATCCAATGTTATAATTTCAGGATCATCATCATAAATACCTATTAAAAAACACAACAATTGCTTTTTATTTTTGCCATCTTTAAAATGAAGAGACAAACTATTATCTTATTCACAAAACAGAAGACAGTACACTTAAGTTGAAATAGTAAGCTAGCAAAGATAGGTTACATACTAATAAACAAATATAGCTTTGTTGTAAAAACTTAGTTTAATCTCTTGCTAACTCTCGCTCCCTCATGCTACAGAAGCCACCATCATAACAGAACAGTTCTTTTGGTCTTTTAGTAGACCAGCCACCAAGTGAGCAGAGAACTTCAAGGACCACTGTTATGGCAAGAGTATTAGAAATAACATCAACTAGTTGTCAGATTAAAATTCAAGAAGCTTCAGCTCCCAGTGGGAGTGCTATATGTAATGTCTGGAAGCTTTCGCCTCTTCTCTCATTCTCTGCTTATCTAAGCTGTTTAGATCACAAAGATATTACAGCCACAAGCTTTTCCACTAACAGAATACGTGAATGCAATGGAATAAAGTGGAGAGAATAAAGGTAAGGAAGACAGCTTTTCTAAAAAGCCAACCAGTCCTACCCAGAACATCACTACAAAACAGTCTACTACTTCAAGTACGCAAGAAAGGCAGAGCAGAGATACCAAAAATACTATTAGACAGCATTATATTACGCTACTATGGCTACAGATCTTTTACAGTATCTAACATGGTGAGATGCCATTTCACCTGATGTATACAAGGACTAAATGCAAACAAATAAAGAAATTAATTTCTGTGGGTGACAAGGTATTTTTTATATTACTATCCATTTATATATAATGTAATATAATACATACACTCACCTATACATATATATAAATACTCTCCAAATGACTGGTTATTTAATAGACATTCAAGGATACTGTTTCTCAATCAAGCAGTGCAACTTCAGGCAGATAAAATTTCTTAAACCTGTTCATCTGAAGAAGTTTTAGGGTAATTTCCATGTTTTCCTGTGATAGTTTATTCAATTTGCACAGACATTGATTTTTTAGAGATGGGGACATATTAAATCAAACTACCCCAGAAAAAAAAAAATGGCTAAGGCGGAGGTTCATTTCAGCTTTTTCTTTCATATCAATCAAACCATGTTCCACAACTCCCTATTTTAGCTTACTCCTGTAACAGTAGCTCTTAGATTGGTTCATCCCAAGCTTT